AGTGCCTTCTCTGTATCAGTTGAGATGATCATGTGATTCTTTTCCTTTGTTTTATTTATGTGGTGAATTATGATAATTGGTTTTCTAATGTTGAACTACCCGTTACTTCCCTGATATGAATCCCGCCTGATCATGATGTATTTTTTTTTTTTTTTTAATATGCTCTTGTATTCTCTTGGCTAGAATTTTGTGCAGAACTTTTGCATCTGTAAGTCGTGGTTGCTTAATGTCCATGATATGTTCTGTGAAATAGGACATTATATGATTTGGATGTTGTGTGAACACCATTTTATATACCATATAGAGTTCACCTTAAGGTGTGGCTAGTGGAAGCAATCTTTGGTCCAGGTGGAGAGCACATCCTGCACATCGAGTGTGTGTCAGGGACCATTCTTTGCTTGAGTCGATTGGACCCCAAAGGTGAGACCAAGATCCTGTTACTTGGATGATTGTGTTTGTAGAAATTTGTCCATTTCTTTGAGGTTTTCAAATTTGTTGGAGTATAATTTTTCATAATATTCTGTTATGATCCTCTTTATTTCAGTTGGTTCTGTTGTAATGTTCCCCATTTTGTTTCTTATTTAGATTATTTGCATCTTCTCATTTTTTTCTTTTGTCAATTTTATTGATCCTCCTAAAGAATCAACTTCTAGTCTTGATTCTGTTGTTTTTGTTTTCTATTTCATTTATTTCTTCTCTGATCTTTATTATTTCCTTTCTTCTGGTAGCTGTGGTCTTCTTTTGCTCTTCCTTTTTTGTTTGTTCAAGTTGTCGGGCTAAGTTATGGACTTTAGACCTTTCTTCTTTTTTGATGTATGCATTTATTGCTATAAATTTTCCTCTGAGCACTGCTTTTGCTGTGCCCAAAAGTTTTTGATATATTGTGTTTTCATTCTCATTTGAGTCTAAGAATTTTTTAATTTAATTTTTAATTTCTTCTGTGACTCAATAGTTTTTAAGTAAGGTGTTATTCAGTTTCCATGTACTTTGTTTTTCCCTTGGCTCTTCGTTATTGATTTCTAGTTTTATAGTGTTATGGTCAAAGAAAATGCTTTGTATTATTTCAGTGTTTTTGAAGTTGTTGAGACTTGTTTTGTGGCCTAAAATATGGTCCATTCTGGAGAATGGTCTATCCGTGTTGGAGAAGAAGTATACTGTGCCGCTTTTGGGTGGTGTGGTTTGTATATATCTGTGAGGCCGAGTTGGTTAATTGTGTTATTTAGATCTTCTGTATCTTTGTTGAGTTTCTTTCTAGTTGTTCTGTCCATCATCGAAAGTGGTATATTAAAGTCTCCTACTATTATTGTAGAACTGTCTATTTCTCTCTTCAGTTCTGTTAGAGTTTGTTTTATATATTTTGGAGCTCTGTCATTGGCTGCATAGATATTTATTATTGTCATGTCTTCTTGGTGAACTGACCCTTTAATCATGTAATGCCCTTTTTGTGTCTTAGATTGGATTTTGACTTAAAGTGTATTTTATCAGAAATTATTATTGCCACTTCTGTGTTTTGGTTACTGTTTGCTTGATTCTTTCTTCACTGATTCAGTTACTTCTGTGCCCTTCCATTATGTTACCTATTGCTGATATTTTATTAATCTTCTGAAATCCTAGTTGTTGTTTTTGTATGGTTTCTGTTTGTCTGTTAAATTTATCCTTTTGTTCTTGTCTTGTTTTCCTGAATTCTTCTAAGTTTTTTTTTTTTTTTTTTGCCTGTGTTTTCCTTAATTTCTTTGAGGAACCTAAATATAAGTCTTTTGAATTCCTTATCAGATAGTTCTATTCCCATTTATTCCTGAGGAAGGTTTTCTGTCTCTTTGTTTTGCTCACTTGATGAGCCATCTTACCCTGTTTCTTCGTATGGTTTGTTATTGTCTCTTGTCTCCATGGCATTAAGGTGTTTATTTATTTATTTATTGTATGTGTGTATTTGTTTTGTCCTGATTGTTTTGATATATCAGGAACATTGTTTCTTCTCTTTAGAATGTCTTTATTTCTTTATATTATTTTAATTGTTTTTGTTTTGTGGTTCTGGTCTATGTGTGACTTTGGTGGTGTCTGTTGACTGGGTATGATTTCCTCTCGCTAGTTGGTTTGGTGAGTCACACCCATGCGTGAGTCCTATGTCGTTAGGCTCATATATCTTCCCTTACAGGATTAAGTGGCAGTGCGAGAGCAGGTTCTTTCCCTGATGTTGGACGACAGGTGTTGGGTGGTCAGGGTCCCTTCACAGCTTTTATGGGGCCATGGGGTCCTTCTGGGCTGGTGCTACCAGTTAGTGCATCTCCTGGAGGTCAGGTCAGGATGTCTCTGTAGCCACTATGAGGCAGTGCTACCCAAATGGACAGGATAGACCCTATGTGCATGCACTAGTTGGTGTCTTAGCAGGCGGTAGGGGATCAAGGGGTTTCAGTGAAAGTACAGTCAGCCTGCAGAAACTGGGTGTAGGATGTGTGACATTGCAGCCAGGCGAACGCCGGATGAGGGCACTAGAATCTCCTGCTTGTTGCTGGGCAGAGGTGCAGATAGCACCCTGCTTCACTCTGCGTTTGTCTACCAGTATCTCTGTCTCCTACTGGGAATTCCGTGTAGTTGCCTTCCTGTGTTCCTTAACCAGGAATGCTGCTCATTTTGTCTCAAGTTGGCCACGCTGTGCCGGGCAGGCTAGCAGGGCACCTACTATCCGTAAATCTCCTTATTTGCTGCTTGCTTTCAGTTTCTCCTTCCATATGGTGTTCAAGCTAATTCTTCATCCTTCTGTTTGATTCTAGGGTTCCCAGATTGTCATCTGTATCTGTTTCACATGGTTTCTTGGGTCTTTGTTGTAGGGGGATGGCATGGTGTGTCTGACTAAGCTGCCATCTTGGGCAGTCCTCCTGTGTTGTTTTGCTTTTTTAATATACCAAAAGATCCTGTTTTTTGTCTTGTTATTTTTTTCTTCCTACCATATGAAAAATTCCCCCAACTCTTTCCATTGTTAACTCAAATTTCCTCTTTTGTTAAGGTGTAATTCAGGTTCTGTAAAATCTACCGTAGGTATTTTAACCCATAAGTTTTTCCCCCTCTAAGTTTCTACAAACTCTTGCACAATACTTTGACACTTTTTTTCGTGGCTTGTACTGTTTTGTGTATAGGCTTAAATTTGCCCACAAGATGTTCTAGATTAATGTTGTTTTAGTCTTGGAACTTTCTCAGATCAATTCCTCTTCTTAGACATTTGTAAAAAGTTAAATGAGGTTAGTAATCCTAGGCCTCATCCTAATCCACTGGGGAATCCCATGCTTCTCTATCCAGTCAGATAACGTTGCATTCAAATCCCAGCTCTGCCTAAATGTGACCTTAGGGAAGTTTCATTTACCCTGCTTTCTCGTTTCTAAAATATGAAAAAGAATATCCACATTGTAGAGTTTTTTTTTTTTTTCTTTTTTTTGAACATTAGCGATAATATGTGTAAACAACTAGCACATAGAAGCTTCTTTTATTCATATAGCCTTTGGTCTGGAGCTTTCTTATAACATATCATCAGTTTTCCCAAACTCCTCATGCCTATGTGTCCCTCTGTGTATGATCAGCTTGACAGCACAATGACCTCTTCTTCTAAGCTTGTTTGATTAGTGTCAGTATTCCCTATTTGTCCAGTCTGGAAATAAAATGAAATATTGTGTCATTTCCAGGGTTCATTTTAGAACTTGTCTTATTGAAGACTCTTTTGTTAGCATTCTTTTGACATTCTGGGTATTTATAACAACAAGGCCGCATTTCCTGTTTCTTTAAAATTCTTGGTTAGCTGCCACCGGTTTGTATAATTTAGTCGCATGTAATCTGTGATTAGGGATCCCTGGGTGGCACAAACAGTTAAGCGCTCAACTGCTAATCAAAAGGTAGGTGGTTTGAACCTACCTCTCATGAGACAGGCCTGGCAATCTGCTTCCAAAAGGTCACAGCCTTGAAAATCTTATAGAGCGGTAACTCTGCATTGCACACATGGAGTTGCCATGAGTGAGAATTGACTCGACGTTAGCTAATAACAGTTTGTTGATTAAATATAAAATATTCAGTGTGTTTACTTCAATTTGAGCTAATAGTGCTGATCAGTATCCTTAAAAAGACAATCGGCAATACAATGCAAAAGGCTTTTTAATGCAGTTTTCAGTTTTTTTTTTTTTTTTAATTATTGTACTTTAGGTGAAGGTTTACAGAACAAATAGTTTCTCATTAAACAGTCAGTACACGTATTGTTTTATGGCATTGGTTAACAACCCCATGACATGTCAACCCTCTCCCTTCGACCTTTTTTTTTTTTTTGGTGAAAATAGACATAGCCAAAGATACACCATTTCAAAAATTTCTACATTCACAGTTCAGTGACATCGACTACGTTTTTCCAGTTGTGCTGCTATTCTCAGTTTAGATGAAGGTTTACGGAACAAAATGGTTTCTCATTAAACAGTACACATGTTGCCCTGTGGCAATGGTTGACAACCCCACTACATGTCAACACTGTCCTTACTCAACCTTGGGTTCCCTGTCACCAGCTTTCCTATCCCCTTCTGCCTTCTAGTCCTTGTCCCTGGACTGCTGTGCCTCATCAGTCCCATTTTGTTTTATGGGGCTGTCCAATTCCCGGCTGAACTGTGAACCTCGGAAGTGACTTCACCACTGAGCTGAAAGGGTATCTGGGGGCCATAATCTCGAGGTTTCTCCAGACTCTTTCAGGCCAATAAATCTGGTCTTTTTTCTGTGTGTTAGAATTTTGTTCTACATCCTTCTCCAGCTCTGTCCAGAACCCTCTGTTGTGATCCCGGTCAGAGCAGTCACTGGTGGTAGCCGGGCACCATCTAGCTGTACTGGACTCAGTCTGGTGGAGGCCTTGGTAGCTGTGATCCATTAGTCCTTTGGACTAATCTTTTCCTTGTATCCTGTTCTCTTCATTTTCCCTTGCTCCCGAAGGGGTGAGACCAGTGGAGTATCTTAGATGGCTGCTCACAGGCTGCAGTTTTCGATTTTGATGGCTGTTCTGGATTTAGGTTTTTTCACTGTGCATCCTTGTTTATTCATGAGTCTTCCTTTGAGTTCTTTGCTTCCATTTGACGACATGTGTTTGAGGTTGCATTTTATAAATGTGAAACCTTCCACATGCTTACAGAATGATTTTAGGTTTTATTTCTGCCTCATGTGTTCCTGAAAATGCCAGCTGCTGCTTGATTGAAAATGTAATTTAACTTGACTGACACGTGAATTTTATAGTTCGTAAATATGGATAAATTTTCCTTGTTTGTGTTCATAAGCCTGTTGGTCCATATGTTAATGTGTTTCTTGATTTAATTTAATTTCCTTATTTTAAAAAATGAATAAAAACTACAACAAAAACCTTGGGGGAAGCCTTCATACTTCTTAAATTTTTGAAAACATGTTTTTACTTTTTGGAATTTACTTGTGCTGACAGAATGTCTTCTCACTTTAGGATTTCCTAAGTGTTCTATCTTAGGAATTTTGTCAGCGGCAACAGCTTTTGATATTGATATAATTTTATATTGTATTTGTGGAAACAGTTTCTTTTTGGATGTGTGAAAGGAGCAGTTGTTTGGTACAGTTTTAAAAATCTAATGGCTAGATTTAGTTACATGCATAGCAGATTGTTTTAAATCCATTCATTTATATTGGTGGCTCTTAGATATGTGGGGATCAGAAAGCCTCTCACAAAATTGATTACTTTTTCTCTTCTCACCAGAGAAGTACACACATAGATTACTACAGGAGATTTAAGGACCCAGTGAAGGCATGTTTTAGAAATGGGATAGTACATGTATACATAAGTAGAATATAAGGTACTATATAAGACCTTTAAGAAAAACGTAAACAAATTAATACCAGTATGCGAAGCAGAGAGCAGTTAAGGTGGGTGGTTGGGGACAGCATATGGAACAGGGCATGGGGACAAGGCAGGCTTCACGGAGATGGTGGAATTTGAAGGCCTGATGGGCACTCAGAAGACAAAACCCACTCCAAGCAGAGATGATAAGTGTGAATGAATACAGGGAGGCAAGAAAGTACCTGGCCTGTTTGGATATCCATGAGTATTACAGTCTCCTTGAGGATAATGACTGTTACTGATTTGCTTTTGAGTTCTGTATTGTGCCCAGCACACAATACTTAGTAAGTACATGTTGAACTGCATTTTAAACTCTTTATTATGGTTTCGGAGACCACCATTCTGTGTCCTAAAACATTGCATCTGTGCTCTCATATATATACTTCTGTAAAGAAACAAATTAAATATGTATTATTTCAGTGACTATGTACACTAATTGACTTTAAAAAGAAAATTGAAACTTAACTAAGGTATAATAGCATGATTGGATACTTTTCAGATCACTAATGTGAAAACCCTGGTGGCGTAGTGGTTAAGAGTTCGGCTGCTAACCAAAAGGTCGGCAGTTCGAACCCACCAGGCGTTCCTTGGAAACCCTGTGGGGCAGTTCTACTCTGTCCTGTAGGGTCACTATGAGTCGGAATCGACTTGATGGCAACAGGGGTAACGGGTAATGTGAAAAAATTCTGCCACACATTCAGCCATCTTCTCACGGTGCAAAGATTGCTATTTCGGAGGCTACCTTTAGGAAAGATTAAATAGCTGGATAGTACCAGAGTAAGGAAATTCTGGCTGAAAGTACTTTTAATCTGTGCAAAGTGTTAGAAATGAATTTTAAAGGTAATTATTGATGATCAAGATAATAAGAATAGCTTTTATTTGTGTCTTTTCTATGTATTAGGTATGGTATTAAGCATTTAAAAATATTATTTTACATATGAGAACAATATTGTTATTATTCCCCTTTTACAGAGGAGGAAACTAAGGACTAAAGAGGGGGAGGAGAAGTAATTTATCCAAGTTCATCCCACTGATAAGTAGCAGAGGTGGGATTTGAATGCTCAAGTTCTGATAACCACTTAGCCTGATCACAGCAAGACAGAGCTAGACAAGTTTATTACTTTTTTTTTTTAGTAACTATTTTAGCTTTTATTCCTGTTCCTCATTTGCTTCTGATTTCACTTAATGCCATGAATGAAGTCAAGAAGATCTTAAAGGAAGTCCTTGATACAGATCAATTGTAAAACATCGATTATGTTTCAAGAACACACCTGAGATCTATTTCTATTTATGTATACAGTGTAGTCCCAGATATATCATATAGGCTTGTTGATTTATATTTGCTGAAGTTGAGGAACTTTATGACAAAGCACTTTCTTCTTTTGTAACCTGGCTGTTTTCTGACTTTCAGGTTCTAAATGCACAGAGAGCAGGATACAAAGCGGCCATAGTTCACAATGTGGATTCTGATGACCTCATTAGCATGGGATCCAACGACAGTAAGTACAGGTATCACTTTTCTTCTCTCCTGTTTGACAGATCATTCGAAACTAAAAATTAGCAGGATTTCCCTTCTTTTATTTTCTGTTTACAAAGCAAAGTTTCTTACGTATCAGGAAGGTAATTCTCAATTCTTTATTCTCTTGGAACAATTTTATCCACACTAAAGGTGGAAGGAATCAACTTGTTCTTTTCTGAACAGATTTTTTTTTAACCTATGTCTTGTACTTTAGAAGACTTGTTGACATTTTGGTGAGAACCAAAGAAAAACTAAAGCTTTAAATAGAGATAAATATGCTGAGTTAAGAATGCTGTAGAAAGATTCCATGATTTATTTAGAGATTCATTTTAGGATATGCTGCTGTCCTAAGTAACTGCTATATTCTTGTGGAATTTCCAAAGCCACATATTTGTGCCTTCTTACTCCAGTTGGTTATTAGCCACTTAATATACGTGGGCATGTCCATAGTTTTTCGTTTGAAATGGAAGCATTTTTCCTTGCTCTATACTACATATTAGCCTGTAGGGAAAATGAGCCAATTTTAGTGAAACAACTGGCTTTAATCAGACTGTGACTTTCAAGCCATATGCTTTGATTTTAATTTCTATCACTCAGGACATCATGGATTTATTTTATCAAAACCTTTTGTGTTACTAAGATGGTTTATTGTCAACATTTATGATTAGAAGCTCTTTTATTTTTGTTTATCATTTAGTACATAGCCATAATATCTCTTGGTATTAAGTTCCATTAATTCATATATATAAGGAAGAACTTGGAGCAAAGGACACAAAGCTATGGACTAATACAGTACATTGGAACATATTTAGGACTTTAAATAACTACATCCTCAACAGCAAATATTTTGCATTCCTTGACTAAAAAGTTGTCTTCTTATACCCTGAAACAGTATTTTGTTATTGTTGTTGTTCCTTGAGTAGAATTCTTCTTTACCCCAATATAATCTTAGGCAAAATCATAATAAACAAACTTACTGAGTTCTTCAATTAATTTCTTCATATTTTAATTATTATTATTTTAAACTTCTAGTTGATTAAATCTTCATTGATTTGAAACCATGAAATACCTTTAAAAAGTTCTAGCATTGCCGGGGCAATGAGACAACCATTACTTGGGAAGAGGAATTGATGGACACAGTTTATTTACCAAATGTGGCACAGTGGTTAAAGCACTTGACTGCTAACTGGAAGGTCGGTGGTTCAAAACCACCAGCAGCTCCGCAGAAGAAAGATGTGGCAGTCTGCTTCTGTAGAGATTTACAGCCTTGGAAACCCTACGTCGTCACCATGAGTAGGAATCAACTGAATGGCAGTGGGGGGTTGTCACTGCAGATTTATTATATTTTCCTTCTCCTTTCTCTCTTCCCCTTTAACTATTTCCTCTTTTTTTTAAAAAAAAAAATTATTATCCCATGTCAGTAACTTTCATGACCTGTATGCATTACTAGCAAAATGGAAAGCACACATACTCTGGAAATAGTGGTCCTGAATTTAAATTCAGGCTTCACTAATATTAGCTGTATAACTTTGAGCAAGTTACTTATTCTCAGTTTGTCTTGCCTTTAGCAAATCCACAAGACTTTCTCAAGGGCTAAATATGTTTTGTGTTGAACAAACTGATTGGTATTTATATACTGATATTTACTCTTTTGACATGTTTTCAATAAAAATTTTGCAGGCTGGAAGCATTATTTTCCTCTAACTCATAATTTGTCTTTGGAATACCATAAAGCCTTTTTGTGATTATATGTCCTAAGAGAATAGTCCTAAGGAGAATGTGCTGAATTTTAAAAGCAGCACGTAAGCACATAATCCTGCTGTTGCCATGGAAATATCCCAGTTTAGTTATTATATTTCAAAGATTGTTGAGAACTTGGATCATTGACTTTATTGCTTGAATTACTTTCTGTGACATTTTACTCCATCCTGCATGGGTATGTTTGTGTTTAAATATTTTATATATTCCAAAGACAAATGTAAAGATTTTACTATTTTCATCTTTGCTGTTACTTGGTAGAGGAAAGGAAAACATGAATTTATGCAAAGGATGGTGTATCTATTCCTCTTTTCAAAGCTGAGTTCCTAGCTACAAGGAATATTGCAGGTGTTCTTGTATGGGAGGAAGTTCTAATATCTTGAAACAAGGAGGTTTTACAGGTCCCTGGTTGCCAACAGTTCACACGAGGAACGTATCAGTTTTTATTTCAGCCAGTTTATGGGGTGGGTTAACTCAGTGAACCAGTAATACCTGTCATCTCCAGGAGGCAGCAGAATGGCAGAAAAAAACACCAACTTCTAAACCAGGAAATGTTGGTTTATTCTAGGCTAGTTGACACATGAACTAGCCTTTGCCCTTGGGAAAGTTACTTAACCTTTCTGAGCCCATTATTTTCATCTGTAAAAGTGTGAATAATTTTAATGCTATTGACCTTCATAAGGTTGTGAAGACTATATGTGAGATGGTGTATGAGAAAAACCCATGCCATGGCACAGTGGGGGAGCCTAGATAGAAGTGAGAACCCTCGAGTCTGAGTCCAGCCTCTGCGAACTCCTGACTATGTAACCAGGGCAGGTTTCCTGGTTCCTGTTGCTTCTCTCTTTTTTTTTCTTGTGTCCTTTCTTTAACAGATATTTTTTTGACTGCCTACTCTGCATCCTCATAACTGGACCAATAACTAACATCATGATCAATGAAGAAGAAATTAAAGTTGTCAATGATTTCATTCTACTTGGATCAACAATCAATGTTCATGGAAGCAGCACTCAAAAAAATCAGTGTATTGCATCGGGCAAATCTGATGCAAAAGACCTCGTTAAACTTTAAAAAAGCAGAGATGTCACTTTGTTGACTAAGGTACATGTGACCCGAGCCATGGTCTTTTCATTCACCTGTTAAGCGTGCTAAACTTGGATAAAGAAAAGGAAGAGAATTGATGCATTTGAACTGTGGAGTTACAAAGACTATTGAATATACCATGGACTGCCAAAAGAATTAACAAATCAATCTTAGAAGAAATACAACCAGAATGTTTCTTAGAAGCCAGCATGGTGAGACTTCGTCTCGCTCATTTTGGACACGTCATTTGGGAAGACTAATTGCTAGAAAAGGGCACCATGGTTGGTAAAGTAAAGGGCCGTTGAAAATGAGGGAAACACTCAATGAGATGAGTTGACAAAATAGCCACAACAGTAGACTCAAACATACCAACAATCACGAAGATGGTGCAGGTCCCGTGAACATTTTGTTCTATTAAACATAAGGTCACCATGAGTCGGAGCAGCTCAATGGCAACTAACAACAACTCTCTGTCAAGCACCGTTTTAGGCACTGTGCCTACAATGAGGAATAATACAGTCAGAGGCTCTGCCCTCATACCTTGCATTGAGATAGTAGGTGGTACAGTAGTTAAGGGTGTGGTTTCTGGGTACCATTAGCCAGAATTTGAATTCCAGCTTTACCACCTACTAGCTGTGTTACCTTGGGTGGGTTACCTAACACCTCTGTGCTTAAGTTTTCTGATCAGTAAAGTGGTATGACAATAGTACTAATCTAATTGAGTTGTGAGAATTAAGTGAATTAAGACATGTAAAGCATCTAGAGTACTGCATGAGTTTTAGTAATCATTCAGTGATTGTTTAGCTATTATTATTTGGAAACCCTGGTGGCATAGTGGTTAAGTGCTATGGCTGCTAACCAAAAGGTTGACAGTTCGAATCCACCAAGAGCTCCTTGGAAACTCTATGGGGCAGTTCTGCTCTGTCCTGTAGGGTTGCTATGAGTCGGAATCGACTTGACGGCAATAGGTTATTTTGTTGTTATGGTTACATTCTAGAGTGGAAGAAAGGAAATGAACACATAATCTAATAGATATGCTATAATTATAGTCAAGTAGTCATATGTACTGTGAATAAAAATACATCAGACTAAAGGGATATAGAGTGACAGAGATGGGAGGAGGGTGGCTGTTTTAGATAACGGTGGTCAGAGAAGGCTTCTTTGAGGCATTGGCATTTGAGCATAGATCTATAGTGAGGCGCTGAGCCATGCACGTTTCTAAAGGTGGAGTCTTCCAAGCAGAGAGAACAGCAAGTACAAAGGCCCTAAGGTATAGCATGCTTGGTATTTTCAAGGCATAGTGGAAAGCCACAGTGGCCAGAGAGTAATGAGCTAAGGAGAGAGTGACAGAGGATGAGGTTAGAGAGGGACTCAGGGGCCAAATCACAATGTGCCTTGGAGACCATGTTAAGGACTTTGCGATTTATTCTACTTAGGTTTTGAATAAGGGCATGAGGTGATCTGACTTACATTTTAAAATGATTACTTTGGCTGTTCTTTGGAGAATAGACTGAGGTAGTCCAGCAAGACGAGATAGTGGTTTGGAGTGTTAGCAGTGACTGAGATGAGAAGTAGTAGATCATGGCTGTATTTTGAAGTTGACAGGATTTGCTATAGGGAGTAAAGGAAAGGAAGGAGTCAAAGATGAGAAACTAGGCAAATAGTGATGCTGTTTGCAGAGATGGGAAGGACTAGGAGTAGAACTGATTGAGAGGAAGAACATTGAGAGTTCTGTTTGAGAAGCATTAAGTTTGAAGCATCTCTTAGGCAAACAAGTGGAAATATTGAGCAGGCAATTGGATAGATGAATCTGGAGACGTTAGGGCTGGTGATTTAACCTGTAAAATATCTGTGTTCTTATGATAATACTGTTTGGCAGTGCATAAAGTTGTTTTGTGGATCAAAATGAAGATTTAGTGTTTTTTTAAAGTACTTTGTGAACGAAAATGTGTTTGAGTTTGTTTTTTGTAGATATATAATATTGCAAAATCTCCAAGATGGCAATTCAGATTTGCATACTGCATTTTTTTTTCCATTCCTCTTAAACATCAGAGTAAAGAAAGGAGCTTTCCACATCTCTTTAGATATCATAGTGAAAAGAAGTTATGTTACTTTCAATGACTATAAGCCAATAATTACAAGCCAAAAGTTCCTCGAGTTTATCAAAGTATCATCATGAAATCATAAAACATCTCACAGAAGGTTTATAATTCCAAGTTTTAAGTATCAAATAAAATGAATTTTAAACTGATACGTGATAGAGAAAGATCTCTTAGCAAGATCAAAAAATATCTTCTTAAAATATATATGGTCATATAACAGTGCCTCTGCAGCTATTAAAAATGATAAGTAAAGTTTGACAGGATATCAGGATATCTGAGTTATATTGTTAGGTGGAAAAAAAAGTTTATACTTTTTCCATTATTTTACCATCCTATTGATATAAGAAAGAAATTTTTTATTGATTCCCTTGATATAAAGATAGTGATTAAATAAATATTCCTTGACTAACCATTTTAGTTCCTGCCCTCATGGGGCCTGCACAGTGTACTTCTGTGAGTGTGTGAGTGAGTGAGTGAGTGAGAGAGTGAGTGTGTGGGAGGGAAGAAGGGACGGGAGTGGGGAGGAGGGATGAATGTTTATACTTGCCTAAAACAATCTAGAAGGAAAAATAAAATCCTTTTCTCTACCAAGGATACCAAGGTTTTAAAACTTGTGTTTATAAGGATAGAAAAACAGATCAGTGGTTGCTGAGGTTGGGGGGAGAGGTTGAGTATAAAGGGGCATGAGGTGATAGAACATTATATATCATGATTGCATGTGTTTGTCACATACATAACTGTATGTATTTGCCAAAACTTACAGAATTGTTTATTTAAAAAAAATTTTAAAAACCTTGTCTTTGGGTGGGAAAGATTATGATTGTTTTTGTTTTCTTCTTCTTTCCTTGTGTTCCCCTCACCCTCTTTTTTTTTTTCTAAATAACCAGAGAAAACAGACTTTTTCTTTAAAGCCAAATCTGTTGAATTAACTCACATCTAATAGTAAGGCTGCATTTTCTGTAGCAACATTAAGAGGATTGTTTTTATTTTTACTCCTTTGTAATGGGTAATTTTTACAAAATTTTTTCTTCATTGACATTTGATTGTACTTTTGAATGTGGGTATAAGAGTCAGATTTCCTATACACCAATCAAAACCACAAAGCTTTACAATAAACTCTAGGTTTAAAAGGAAGTAGGAATTGACCCAGCTTCCCTAACCTATGCCCGTAACAACTCCTATCAGCGCTTCACTCTGGAAAACTGGAGATAAGTGGTGTCATTTTTCAGACTGTTATGAAGTGCTCTTTTCTTAAATCTCTGGCTTACACCTCTCCTGAGAATGGGTATGTAAAAAAAACTTTTTTACTTTTTCATATAGGAATTAAGTTATGTGTAGAAAAAAACCTAAGATTTCCTTCTTCCTTCTCTGACCATTAGAGTTATAATGTCCATAGAGAAGTAAATTAAATGGAAATATTAAAAATAAAATTCATGTTTCAATTTCATAGAATTGTTGAGATAATTGAGATTTGAGAAACACACACACAAAATGCTAGCTTTTATTACTGCAAATGTTAGCATGTTTCTCAACCACTTTGATGATGGTGTAAACCTGAAATCTAGAAAATGAACCAGTAGGCAGTTAAAGTTGATTATAATTGTTTCCCTTTACATATGTTGCCATTATGAAGAAGTTAAACTGTACATCAAGTGTGAACTTTTAAGAATAATCATATTATTATGTTTTATACAGTTAACGTGTTAAAGAAAATTGACATTCCATCGGTTTTTATTGGTGAATCATCAGCTAATTCCCTGAAAGATGAATTCACATATGAAAAAGGGTAAGTAATGAATATAAAAAATAATCAGGTAGCCTAAAATCCTTCTCTATATCTGTGTAGAATTGTATAATATTAGTTGTAAACAGGGTTATGTTTTAGATTGAACTCTTTTTATTGCACTAAGTTATCTCCTTTTAAGTGGCTTATATTTTAAGACTTCCTGTATTATACTATTTCATCTTTGTGTGATTATAAATTGAAAATATATTCATGCTAGAGAGAATAAGGCACCCACATTGCTATAAAAAGATGACAGTTTTCCATTTTACAGTGTAATCAAACCATTAGTATTTAAAAGCAATGCAATTTACATTTGTATGACATTTTCCACTAAGGAATATCTTTAATAATATGTTTTATTAAAAAGAAATTTATTTTATAGTCACAGAATTCAAAACACAAATGTATTAAGTGACTGAATTACAAAGACAAAAAGTCAGTTTTGAAGTTTAAAAAGTTCGATTTGGAATAAAATCTCCTATATGGAAGCTTCTCAGAAAAACTCATAACTAAGATGGCTATGATTAAAAAAACAGAAAACGACAGGAATTAGCAAGGATGTGGAGAAATTGGGACCCTCATCCATTGCTGGTTGGACTGTAAAATGGTACAACCTCTGTGGAAAACAGTTTAGAGTTTCCTCAGAAAGTTAAAACATAGAAGCACCATATGATCCAGCCATTCCTCTCGCAGGTACAGACTCCAAAGAATTGAAAACAGGAAAACAAACGGATACATGTACACCGTTGTTCATTGCAGTACTATTCACAGTAGCCAAAAGATGAAAACAACCTAAATGTTCATCGACACGGGAATGGATAAACAAAATGTAGTACATACATAAAATGGAATATTACTCTGCTATAAAGAAAAATGAAGTCCTGATACGTGCTACAACGTGGATGAACCTTGAAAGCATTACACTCAGTAAAATAAGTCAGACACAAAAGAACGACTATTGTATGATCTCACTTACATGAAATATCTAGAATAAGCAAATATATGGAGACCAAAGTTTATTAGTAGTCACCAAGGATGAGTGGAAGGGAGAAAGGAGAGGTTACTACTTAAGGGGTGCTGAGCTTCTGTTAAGGGTAATGGAGAAATTTGGAAATGAATAGTGGTGTTGGTTATACAACATGATGCACATAATTAATGTCACTGAATTGCATATGTAAAAAGTGTTGAAATGGCAAATGTTTTACCACAATGTTTTTAAATCTCATTACAAAGGAAACAGACTAAAAATATCTCAAAGCATAGCTGTCTCATCTGATACAGAAAACAGTACAACTAATACTTCAGAGCTTCTACAGAATGTAGCAGGCAGGAACAGGCTTTTTACTAAGAGGGACAATAACAATATTAATAATAATAGCAGCGAACATTTACTGAGCATTTAACAAATGCTAGGCACTGATAAGGCAAAGACTTCTACATTTGTTTTCCACTAAATTCTCACAACCTTTTAGAGGTTATTATTATTATCATCTCTGATTATCCACATTTGCCAAAAGAGGAAACTGGCACAATGAAATCCAATTCTAATTGTTCAGAAGAAAAAATACACCTACTCCTCACTTATTGACATGGTTAGGTTGCAAAGACCAGGTCGTTTATGTGAAAATCAGCATTATGTGAAAATGGAGGATGACCACATCAGATCACGAAATGGAGGATGGCTGCATTGTTACTTAACTGCCAGATTACATCATTACCTGTCAAATTACATCATTACATAACTACCAAACCACTGAGAATCATGGCCCATCCAAGGTGACGCATAACCTTAACCATCACAGCTAGCGTTACTCTTGCCTCATACCTTGGCATTCATTACTGCCAGATGTACGTCATCAGTGTGCAAAATAATTGGAAAGTAGATTTTTTACTAGTGTTGTAAGTGCAAAATGTTGGATAACGAGCGTCCATAAGTGAGGAGTAGGTGAATATTTGAATAGGTACATGAATATATGAGCTTGAAAATGTATAAAAATAAGAGGGCGAGGTTTTCTTTTACTGGTTTTGTCTTTTATCCCATATAACTTTTTTTTGTAAAAACTGTTCACCGATTATGTGCTCAGAACATTTTTATTAAAATAGGGAATGTAATTTTGGATGTTGTATTAAAAAAGTAGCTATGCAAGCTGATGTTTTGTCAGCCATGTTTGTGTGGTTCTTAGAGGGAAGAACTAATACTTGATTTTACTTCTCTGTTGTTTCTTCAATTAGAAAAAAAATCTGTATATTTTAAATAATCTTTTTAAAAATTTTAATTCTAAAATTATACCCTTTTAAATTGAAAAGTGATGTATACATGTTGGCAAAATATGCAAAAATTCCGAAATACAAAGCATTTAAAGTGAAAATCACTGTAATACTACTCTCCAACAAAAGAGACTGTTTTTTTTAAAAAAAAAAAAGCCTTTAATTCTTTCCCAGATTTGAATACTACATTATTAATGATTGTTTACCCATAAAATGGAACCATACAATACATAATATATTGTAACATGCTTTAGTTTCTTAACATTTATACCCTTTCCGTGTTCATACAAGTCCTCAAAATTACTTATCCCAACTCTTGGGGACAGACATATTGTGGAATTGAGATTTTCTCAGATTTTTAAAAGTTAAGCAGCATTCCACCTGGATTTTAGGCAGCATCCCATAAACAAATTAATGTATCTGTAGTGAATGTATGAGTGTTTTCTCATGTTAGCTCAGTTCAGGTTGACTGTCAAATGAATTGCAAACATTATTTTTTTTTAAGTGGTTTGGATTTCAGAATTGTGCATAAGGGATTATAGACCTGTATACATAGATCTGCCTTTTTAAAATTAATTCATTTATTCTACTTTTTATTATAACAACTTTCAAACATATTTAGAAGTAGGGAGACAAGTATAATAAACTTGCATGTACCCCTTATTAGGAGCCCTGGTGGCACAATGGTTAAGAGCTCAGCTGCTAACCGGAAGGCCGACAATTCAAATCTACCAGCTGCTCCTTGGAAACCCTATGGGGCAGTTCTGTTCTGTCCTATGGGGTTGCTGTGAGTCGGAATCGACTCGACGGCAATGAGCGGGTCCTGGTACAACAAGATGTTTCAGGCCCATCTTTTTCTTTTCCTGCCCCAGACATGGAACCAGCCATTTCTTCAGGGAGCTCTGGTTTTTTTAGTTGGAAATGGTGCTTAGAGACCACAGTATGGACACCAGGGATGATCATTGCTCCTGGGTTCGTCATTGTTTCTAGGGCTTTTTGGTGGACAGAGCTAGGAAATATGGATGTTTTTTAAAGATACAACAAATCATGAGTACATGCTGCTGCTTCCAGTTTAAATTCAGGACTATAGGATTTTTTACTTTATCTCATGTATTTTATTTTTCCTGTTCTCAAAGACATCAACATCCCAACTCCAAAAAGAAATAAAAGTATTTCTTTTATTTGAATACATACACAACAGACTAAAAAGAACAATACCAACCCTACTACAAATATATTTTTTTAACAGTTCTTTCTCTGCTTAGGGTAATCACGATAGGGATATAAAGTCAAATTATTTTATTTTAAAGAGAAGTGAAATAATTCTTCTGTGTGCAGATGCCATCAACTGGAAGCCAAGGTCTGTTTCATTCATTTTGCTTTTATATTTTAGAGATTGTTTTTTCTCCCCATTTTGACTTTGTTTGGTAATTATGATAAACTTAAAAGAATCTATACTTGGAGAGGACCAGCCTCTGTCCAAGTATCATCCACCCTGTCCGTCTATTCCCATCCTTACCTTGTAAGTAACAATTTTTTTAGTTTTTAGTTTTTCATTTAAAAATATATATTTTTTTAGTTTATAAGCAAATACATCTCTCTTCTCCCCCATCTCCCATCCTCAGTACATAAACATTATCTTGCTTTTTTCAGCTAACAGTATATCCTGGAGCTTACCCCATATGAATAGATACAGTCTTCATTCCTTTTTACAGGTGCATTGTGCTCCATTTTGTGGATGTGCCACGGTTTAATCATCCAATCTCCTACTGATGGACATTCGAGTTGTTGATAGCCTTTTGTTATTATAAATAGTGTTGTAATGAATAAACTTATGCACAAGTTTTTTTCATATTTTTGCAAGTATACCTGTAGAATCGATTCCTAGAAATGAGATTGCTAGATCAGAGGTTAAATGAATTTATACTTTTGCTAGATATTGCCAAATTCCCATCCATAGTGGTTGTGCCCAAAATATATGAGAATGTCTCTTTCCCACAGCCTCATCAGCAGTATGTTACCAGATTTTTGGATTTTTTTCACCAGATAGGTGAGAAATGGTTATAATTTTAATGCCTATTTCTCTTATTACAAGGAAATTTTGAGCACTTTTTCTTATGCTTAAGAGCTATTTGCATTTCATTTTCTATAAATGGTTTATCTTTTACTGATTTTTTCTTATTAGGTTGTTGGTCTTTTTCTTCTTAGAAGCCCTTTATTTATTAGGTATATTTACCTTTTGTTTATAATATAAGTCGGAAGTATTTTTTTTTCTAATTTTACATTTTTAATCTACTCGTGGTGCTTTCTTAAAATTATTTTTCAGTATAATCAATGTGTTAGTCCTTTCCTTTGAGCTTCTGATTTTTTTT